CAAGATTGGCTTAGACAAGAAACTAAGCCTATTTGTGTTGAAGAAAGTTTGGAGTTTCTTGAAAAAATTGAACTTGGTAAGACTTTTTATTTTTTATTTGTTTCTGGAAAAAATAAAATACTTATTGTGTTGTATGACATGTTTGATTTTCTTACTTATACTTTTATAGAGATGGCAAATAGTGGAAGAAACTCTTCCATTGTTGATCTATGATTGACTTGCAAGTCTCAAGTATTTAATAGTGGTGAGTTTAATACGTCATTTATTTAATCATATCATTTTTTAAATCTTAAAAGTAGTATTCTAACATTTAATTTTATTTTAAAAGGTCCAAGAGTCAAGACAATGAAGAAAGGTGTAAAGTACCAAGTTTTGTTAGTGTTTTGATAATTTTGTTGGCATTTGAGACTTGAAAGTGGTCTCATGGAAGAAAGTCAAGAAACTACATTGTTGCTCATTATTGTTATTTGTTATTGTTGGCACTTGAAACTTGAAAGTGGTCTCATGGAAGAGGCTACATTGTTTGTTGTTGATTATTGTTGTTTGTTATTGTTGACACTTGGCACTTGAAACTTGAAAGTGGTCTCATGGAAGAAAGTCAAGAAACTACATTGTTGCTCATTATTGTTATTTGTTATTGTTGGCACTTGAAACTTGAAAGTGGTCTCATGGAAGAAAGTCAAGAAACTACATTGTTGCTCATTATTGTTATTTGTTATTGTTGGCACTTGAAACTTGAAAGTGGTCTCATGGAAGAGGCTACATCGTTTGTTGTTCATTATTGTTGTTTGTTATTGTTGACACTTGAAGGTGGTCTCATGGAAGAGGCTACATTGTTTGTTGTTTGTTATTGTTGACAGTTGAAACTTGAAGGTGGTCTCATGGAAGAGGCTACATTGTTTGTTGTTTGTTATTGTTGACAGTTGAAACTTGAAGGTGGTCTCATGGAAGAGGCTACATTGTTTGTTGTTTGTTATTGTTGACAGTTGAAACTTGAAGGTGGTCTCATGGAAGAGGCTACATTGTTTGTTGTTTGTTATTGTTGACAGTTGAAACTTGAAGGTGGTCTCATGGAAGAGGCTACATTGTTTGTTGTTTGTTATTGTTGACAGTTGAAACTTGAAGGTGGTCTCATGGAAGAGGCTACATTGTTTGTTGCTCATTATTGTTGTTTGTTATTGTTGGCACTTGAAACTTGAATTGTTACTTGTTACTTGTTAGTGCCTTTTGGCCTATTTGATAGTGCCTTTTTGGCCTAAAATTGCCACATCATTTCGTATTATTTTGAGAATTCTTTCATTTTGATTTGATTTTGAGGGGGATAAAAATGGATTTAAATGTTTCCTTGTATTCAAGAAATTAAAGGTTGATAGTTTAATTGAGTTGCCTTACATTCATTGAGTAAAATTATGGTATTTTATAATAATGTTAAAGAGAATTGTATCACAGCTTGTTGCCTATTTCTGTAATTGTGTGGAACTTTTTGAAAGAAAAAAAGGAACAATGATAACGACAAGTGTGGAACTTGGAAGTTGAAACTACTCAAGGCTTTTTTTAGTAGTATTTAATTTAAATTTATAATTTATTGGCTTTTAGACTTTTAGTAGTATTTTAATTATAATTTATTAACAAGGGCAAATTTCAATGATAACGGTAGTTTAGTAGTTAGTACTACTTTGAATCATACAATAATTTAATAAACAGAGTAAAATAAGCAAAAAGAAATAAATATAAATAAAATAAACAAAAAAATTACAAAATTTTAAAAAGCCCACTAAGTAGGCCCATAACAAAAAACCGAACTAACAAAAACCGAACCGAAATAACATAAACCGAACCGAAATATAAAAACCAAACCAAACCAAATTATTTCGGTTCGGTGTTCAGTACACGTTGTACAAGAACCGAAAACCGAAAAAAAAAACCTAAATCGAACCGAAATATCGAATGCCCAGCCCTACCCTTGTGTACCTTATTTTAGCCGAGTTCGAGGCCCTATCATACATTCTTAGTCATGGTTTGAGGCTTTGACTCATCCTTTTTGGCCTTGGTTTGAGTCCGGGCACACCTCTGTTAGTCGAGTTCGAGTTCGAATCATGAATTGGTGGTTCTATTTGGTTCTTGGGTTGCCGATACCATGGTTCAAGTCCATGGATGGTCGTGGCAGCTCTGGAAGCTTAGCTAGTAGTTCTTTAGCTCTTCTGTGTACCCATCTAGATTATGGGGGTCTGTTTGAGTTATTTAATTACTTGCAATTTTGTGCACAAGTGTACCTAATTCTGAGCTTATGAGGTCCAATTAGATTATAGCTAGTTAGCTCTTTACTGTACTGATTAATCTGTCCTTGACTCATGTACATCGTAGTTAGGTTCTCTATACCGCATCATTATATGACCTCTTGTTGTTTTCCTTCCCGTTTTCATTATTATTTTTAGCTTTTATATATAGGTGACTTTGTGTTTCTTAAAATGTTGTGGGTTGATTACGTTATTTGTATCTTGACTAGCTGAAAGAGTTGAATATGATAGGTTATTGTTTTACTCCTCTTTTATCGTGTCTACCAACTGAAATATCTCGTCTTAGTTTCCATGTATATTCGAAGCATGTCTCTTTGATTGATTTATCTGCATCTTAGTGAATTTTTTTTAGTTCTTGATTGGTTGCTTGTTGTTTAAACATAAAGATTGGTTGTTTGTTTAGTATTTTAATTCTGAATATTGGCAGCCCATTTTGATGGTTAGACTTCCTCTTGTTTCCCCTAACTTCTATAAGTTTGCTTAGTTGTAATCACTGTTTGCATATTTCTAATCGTTCATGTTTGTTTGATTCAAATTCTCGTCATTGTAATTGTAGTCTTCTCCCACTCCGGTTCCCTATTTATTTTGATTTGAAATGAGTGAAGTTTTTAAATTATAGTTGTTGCATTTGAGTTTAGTTAATAGTGATGTTTGGTTGTTATTGCTTATTGTCTTTTGGATTATAATTGTATAGTGATATTTCATTGCCAAAATTACTTGTTCCCTGTTGCAATTAAGAGTTGGTTGAGAATTATTTTTACTATTCTTGTGCTCTTTTAGATTTTCAGACAAATGTCATAGGCATTTTTATGTCTTTTTTTTTCATATTAAATCAAGAATTATTACTTGCGATTTTTATTTTTATGTTTGCATGTAAATCTGCCCGAGTCCTCATGGACTCTACCTCCTCTCCTTGCATTTTCTCGTTGGGCCACGGAGGCCCAAATTTGCCTTTATCGAGTCAGCCTCATTTCTGAGTTAATGATATTGAAGAACAAGTTCTTGGAGTTGATGCGCAGGCGTTCAGAGCAAATTAAAGTGCTGGTTTATCTAGGACATGTACCAAGTGTTGGGCCAAAGGCCCAAAAGACAGAAATCAGGTCCAAGTACTGACCCAAATGGACAGAAAACCAGATTTGGGCCCAAATCATTCCTTCTTTATTTCATTTTTATTTAATTATTATTACATGATTATTTGTTTACTCATTTTTAAGGTTTTTCCTAAATCAATTTCCCAAAGGATGGCCATTTCGAATGAATTATCTCTTTTTTTCAAGACTCAATAAGTACTTGCTTTCCCACTTGACTTTTAAAAGACCATCTTAAAAACATTTACTTAGTATGTGTTTGGCCATGCGATACCATATCACAATTTAGTATCGTGAGATGGAATTAACGTTTGGACATGTGATTTTACGCTGATTCCATCTTCTCTAAAAACCATGATATGGAATTATATGGTAATTCCATATCATGATTTGAGATATTTTAATACAAAAATTGATTCACGAGTTTATATTTTGTTAAAACACCCCACATTTATATCTACTAACCATTTATTTCATAAGTAAATAAAATTTATAATCACTTCATTACTTTTTAAAATTTATTATTCTCACCGACATAAAATTTATTATTCTCACCAA